CATCATGTGAACGTTTGTTTCACTTTTCCATGGAATGAATCGCGGGATGGTGTCTTTCTTGTTTTTTATGTGCAAAGATGGTCTTTTCTCTCTCTTTTTGTAGCCTGGTTGGCACGTTGTTTCCTGTTTGTGTAAGAGTGTATTCCTTTCGAGTGGGTGTATTGCATTGTTTCTTGTTTATTAAGCAAATATGTACGATATGTATCGTTTCAATATTTTTGTCGAAAACCTTGTACTCCCCCCTCATACAATGCCCGAAAGGGCGCTTTGAGGTAATTTAAATAAATAAATAAATAAAATGTGCATTGCGCTCGCATACGTATAGAGCATATCTAAACCGTGGGAACGCAATCTAAGGCGTAGCGTTCACCCTCTGCCAAGTTACAACAAGACAGGGTATAACTATGGGCTCTCACTCTGCTGGCGCCGCCTGACCGTTGCCGGCTTGCCATATTGGCTATGTTTAATACGTCTTATAGTCACTGGGACACGCGAATTGGTGCAGCGACGTTCACGTTGAACATTTTACTGCTAGACGTGACCGCCAAGTCTTTATCTGAGATAGTCTACGGAGTACTTTTGATACTCTCACACGAATTAGCAGAAGACGCATGCGTGGACACGTCAGGTGCGAGAGCATGAACAGAAATTCGTTCAACGACTAACTGAAGAAAAAAACGTGACCGGCCGACTGATAATTTATTGTAGGCGACGGATGTAACCGTTCAAGAGGTGAATGCATACGACTGAACCCTTTCGATTATTTGGCGGCTTGTGCCATCGATTGGCTCCATGGGGACGAACTCACGCTGTGATCCGGCAGTTCGTTCTCGTTGTATTTTAAAGTTTAATTAAAAAATATATTGAAATAATTCTTTGACATTGTTTCACCCTATTTCCAGCCTAGCCTCTTTGCGCTTTCTCTTCCAGCAGACTGGCAATTTTGCGGTCGAAGCGACGGAAGCGAGAACGGACGGTCGGCACGTCGTTTGGCAAGATAACGGCTCATAGCTCGATCGAATCTGAGTTTTTTCCCGTTTGCCAGCATCTAGTAAGACGAGCGTTTCATCTAGAAAACTGCGTTGCGTGTAACAACGTAGTGCACATTTGAATACAAATTGCAGCACACGAGACGCAGAGAGGGAAGAACATACGGCTTTTCTCCCCAAGGAGCTTAACCCTTTTTGCTTCTATCCACACACAATCCAAACTTTCGCCGCTGTTCATGGAGAACGGGAGCATGCACAAAACCCGTCTTGGTAAAAGCTCATTGGACCAGTTGGTATATGTTTAACATTATTAATATGCTACACCGCTCAAGAACCAAAATTTAAAATAAATAGCAGACACGAGATGAGACGCGTTGATTCGCATCTGAAGTTTTAACGCATAAAACAGAAATAAACGTTAGGTAAAATAATAAAAACATACAAACATACTCACATGAAGCAATGGGAACTCTCAACACAAAGGTATGGGTTCTGATAACGCTGTAGCACCGGTAACATTCATTATACTTCAAAATTACAAATGCATTACCAATGTAAACATTTTCGACGGACATCCGTCTGGTTATTAATGATTAATAAACCTTCAACTTAGAAACTCTAACCAAGCTTTATTAAAAAGCCAAAATCCCGACGTTTCGGAACCAACTCGGTCCCTTGATCACGGGTGACTGTTTTTGTCCCGCGGAACGGCCTGCCCACGAACCCGAACACCCCCGGGTGTTTTCCGGATTATCCCTCTTAACCCCGAAACGTAGCTGCTGGGAAGGGTCCCCGTCGACCGGTTTACGTTGCCACGTGTGCATTGAATGTGCCACGACTCCAACAGGAGGCGCCTCCGCCAGTTTTTCTCCCTTCCGAGGATGGAGCTGTTGTCAAGGTCGATGGAGTGGTTCGTCTTCTCGACGTGTTCGGCCAGCGCGCTTCCCTCCACATTTTTCTTCGCGATGTCGTAGCGGTGGCGCCGCAGGCGCTCTGGATAGTTTTTCGTTTCCCCAACGTACGACGCGGGGCAGTCACCGCAGGGAATTTTATAAACCAGTCCCTGTGCCCTCTCCTTCGGGGGGCGATTCTTTGGCAGGGGGAGAAGGCCGCCGATGGTCGAGACTGGCTTGTGTGATACCGCTATGCCGTACTGTCGCAGTACTCGGGCGAGAACCTCGCTTGTGCCCTTGATGTAGGGTACACACACGCGGGTGGAGGGAGGGGGGGGGGGGCGTCTTGCGTTGAAGGGGTGCGTCGAATTTTTTTGATCGTGCTTTTTACAAATCCAGCTGGGTAGCCATTCTTCCGCAGGTCTTGTTTGATCGTTTCGATCTCTTTTCGAAGGGTCTCCTCTGATGTGCAGACCGTGATCGCCCGTCTGACGAGTGCCGAAGCCACGGAAGACTTATGTGTCCTAGGGTGGCTTGAGGAAAAGTCCAGGTATCGGCCTGTGTGTGCCGGCTTCCTATACACACGGAAGTCCAGGCGGCCGGACTTTCTCACTGCACAGACGTCTAGGAAAGGGAGACAGCCATCTGATTAGTGCTCAATCGTGAATTGAATCGCTGGCTCGATGGAGTTGAGATGTGTGTGGACCAACAAGAGGTTCGTGAAGAATCTGTCTTCGAGAGTGCTCTCTGAGACCGAGACGCGTGTTCTGGCAAAGGGAAAGAAGTTCAACCTAACCACAACAACGCCGCCTATTGCTTCGATGGCAGCTGCTGTCGAATATGGCCTGCGTGAGTTAGACCCCTGCATCCGTGAAGAAGCTCGCCTCAAGGCCATCGGCGTGCTGTCCAAGGCGCACCGACGGGAGCAGTTAAATTACACGCCGGAAGAGAAAGCAGCCATTCAGAACTTGAGAGAAGACAAGAGCATCGTCGTCCTCCCTGCCGACAAGGGGAACGCAACCGTGCTACTCGACCGCGCGGACTACGATGAGAAGGCGCTTCAGCTTCTCAACACCGACGCATACATGATTCTGCCAAAGGACCCGACTGCCAAGATTCAGGCAACTCTAAACAAAATGCTCTCTACGATTTTTGATGGGTATCCCGAGTCCCGAGGCCTTTACTTGGGTCTCATTTGCCGGAACGGTTCAGCGCCGGCCTTTCATGGCCTGCCGAAGGTGCACAAGCCAGATGTCCCCCTCCGACCCATAGTGGATTTCACCACGTCTCCGTTACGTGCGTTGTCCAACCATCTCCACCGACTGCTGTCGCCTTTAACCGGGAAGACCGACACGTACGTCAAAAATTCTGGACACTTCATCGAGCTCACATCGGGCCTCGAACTGCGGGACGACGAGAGCCTTGTCTCCTTCGACGTCGTGTCGCTTTTCACAAGTGTGCCTGTGCCTCTCGCAGTGTCTGTGACGCGGGAGGCCCTCTCGTCTGACACGAGACTCTCCGAAAGAACGTGCCTTGAGGTGGACGAGATTTGCCGTCTACTGGAATTCTGCCTATCCAGCGCTTATTTTTCTTTTGCTGGCCGCTTCTACAGACAAACCAGTGGTACGGCTATGGGTGCTGCGGTCTCCGTCACTGTGGCAAACCTCGTAATGGAGGCGATTGAGAGAAAAGCCCTGGACACTTTCTCCCCAGGACCCGTGTGTTTCCTCCGGTATGTCGATGACTGCTTTTGTGTTGTAAAGACCAGTGAGATCGACCGTCTCCACACACATCTCAACTCCATCGAGCCTGCGATTCAATTCACGATTGAGCACGAATCAGATGGCTGTCTCCCTTTCCTAGACGTCTGTGCAGTGAGAAAGTCCGGCCGCCTGGACTTCCGTGTGTATAGGAAGCCGACACACACAGGCCGATACCTGGACTTTTCCTCAAGCCACCCTAGGACACATAAGTCTTCCGTGGCTTCGGCACTCGTCAGACGGGCGATCACGGTCTGCACATCAGAGGAGACCCTTCGAAAAGAGATCGAAACGATCAAACAAGACCTGCGGAAGAATGGCTACCTAGCTGGATTTGTAAAAAGCACGATCAAAAAAATTCGACGCACCCCTTCAACGCAAGACGCCCCCCCTCCCTCCACCCGCGTGTGTGTACCCTACATCAAGGGCACAAGCGAGATTCTCGCCCGAGTACTGCGACAGTACGGCATAGCGGTATCACACAAGCCAGTCTCGACCATCGGTGGCCTTCTCCCCCTGCCAAAGGATCGCCCCCCGAGGGAGAGGGCACAGGGACTGGTTTATAAAATTCCCTGCGGTGACTGCCCCGCGTCGTACGTTGGGGAAACGAAAAACTATCCAGAGCGCCTGCGGCGCCACCGCTACGACATCGCGAAGAAAAATGTGGAGGGAAGCGCGCTGGCCGAACACGTCGAGAAGACGAACCACTCCATCGACCTTGACAACAGCTCCATCCTCGGAACGGAGAAAAACTGGCGGAGGCGCCTCCTGTTGGAGTCGTGGCACATTCAATGCACACGTGGCAACGTAAACCGGTCGACGGGGACCCTTCCCAGCAGCTACGTTTCGGGGTTAAGAGGGATAATCCGGAAAACACCCGGGGGTGTTCGGGTTCGTGGGCAGGCCGTTCCGCGGGACAAAAACAGTCACCCGTGATCAAGGGACCGAGTTGGTTTCGAAACGTCGGGATTTTGGCTTTTTAATAAAGCTTGGTTAGAGTTTCTAAGTTGAAGATTTATTAATGCATTACCAGTAAGCGCATGTCGTGTATTGCGCGTTGCTGCATTTCTTGGTGACTGTTCTTGAGCGCTGTAGGATCGCCCCCCTGTTTAACTGTAACCTTCGTTTCTTTTTTGTTTCTATAGTTACGCCAAATATTTACGAGACCATAAAAAATTTAATTCATCCTGGATCTTCTACCACTCGTGCAAACTGCATGCGTCGGGTTCTCAGGAACGCTCAAAACCAGACAAACAACTGGACTGTGTTTTTCAGCCTCGAATATTCTCACTAAAAATATTAACAACTCTCTTAAAAAGCATTGTCTTGCACAAAATGTGATACCCATTCTCTTGAAGGCCGATGTTCCCACAAGGATACCTGAAAATCCTATCACTCCCAGTGATTCTACACCTCCCAGCAGTCCAACGACTCCCAGCAGTCCTACGACTCCCAGTCGCGCTAGCACTCCCAGTCAAACGAATGACGTGAGTCTTTCTACCATGTGACACGGGTGACTTAGAAGTATGACATATGTGAAAACGTTTGTTTTCCAGTCGGGTAAATAGGTAAATGGCTTCCATGCTTCTTAAATGTAAATTACTTATTTATTTTTCTTTCAGGGGCATACAAGACATTTAGTTGTATGCTCATAAGCTTCGCCACAACCGCTGTAAGGTTATCAGATGTAACGTAAATTACATTTCTTCTAACATCTCAATGAGTTACTCGAGACTAGGGTGAGAAACTGAGACCTTTTAAGTCATTAGATGCTTGCTAATTGACGACTCAGTTTTTCATATATATATATATAGAGAGAGAGAGAGAGAGAGAGCTATCTTGGATTGCAAATATTTAACGTTAAACGATAAGCAAGTCATTATTCATGATTTACGATCACAATGAGCTCATGTGTTTTAATAATGTTTTGCCTAACTGAAACGAAATAAAACTGATATAAATGTGCTGAATATAAAAAAGCCATAACTTAGGCACTCATAAATATAATCAAATAAGTGTACATTAAATGCTTCCAACTTTTTTTAACGTTTCCAACATTAGCTGCTCTCTGAATTTAAAAACAAGGACATCTACCTCAGATACAAATCTTCCACGTCCGATCTTTATCTACTGGGATTTCCAGCAACATGCGTAAAGATGGAGTTCATCGAAACAAAATATGACACAAAAAGCGCAATATTGACAATGGACTACAAAGATTCAAATAAAGCATGGAAATCAATTGTGTTCACTCAAACAAGATCTATGGTAGACTCATATGAACATTTGTGTCTAAAATTGCCATTCCTGTTTTTCAGGCAAACGGAGTTGGGAAATGTCACACTAAAAAAGATACGTCAAAGTCACTCACTGGGAAGCCTAATTTTTTGGATAGAAGAATCAGAAACCGGCAAGTCCAACAGCCTTACGTGTATAACTTGTTATAAAAACTATTAGAGTAACAAATTATTAAATAAAGAACTAGCATTCGCCAGATTTTAGTTTATAAATAAGTTTTAAATGATTAACTCCAAGAACATAGGCTGGAAACACAAGTACACCATTGCAGAGAGATTTACTCTCAGCTGGGGGATGAGATTAAAACTTATCTGAGGTATGTACTGGCTTCTAACATTAATTCCATGTCACGCTTGGCTCGGCTGAGCGGACACTTTCACATACGTGGTACACTCCTTTATTCTTCTAGCGCCATCCTTCACTCCCCGCCGTCCCTCGCTCCTCCCCGCGACTCGCGGGAGCGGGGACAAGTGTTGTCCCTAGGAATCCCCCCTAGGGAAGGAGTGTCCCCGCACGGTCCCGGTTGTCGCCGGCGCCACACACTCCTCACATTCCTTACAGGTCTCCCCCCCTTCATTCGTGAAATTGCAGGAGTGGCATCTGGTCGATCTTCGTGGTAGGCTGTCAACTGGTCTGCGTGGGCCACTCCGCGGCGACGTCCGGTAGTTGGGTCCCTCAGTAGGAAGTCATTCTCGCCCAAGCACTGTGCCACCCGGAAGGGCCCAGAGCGCCGCGGTGCAAGCTTGGCCGTGATGCCCTTGGCCGCATTACTCAGGGTGTGGCTATCCAGTAGGACGAGGTCACCCTGTTTTATTGTTGTAGGCTTCCTGTGCCGGTCGTAGTTGGCCTTTTGGGTTTGCCTTGCTGCCTCCTGGTGCTCTCTTGCAAAGCTGAGAGCATCCTGAAGGCACCTGGTGACCTCAGCAGCAAAGGCATGGCAAGCCGTTGCAGGCGGTTCAGTGTCGTCTTTGCTTCCTGGCTGCTCCCACGGGGTGCGCAGTTCCCGACCGTAGCACAGGAACGCCGGCGTGTATCCCGTCACTACGCTCTCAGCCGTGCGCATGGCAAAGGCGATTTCGGGGATGTGACGGTCCCAGTCTTTGTGGTCGGAGCAGTAGGCTCGGAGGCACTCCTTCACTGTGCCGTTGTGGCGCTCCACCATTTGTCCTGCCGGTCGATAAGGCACCGTATGGCGGTCCTTGATGCCCCAGTGCTTAAGGAGACCTTGCCATACGGTGCTCACGAAGGGCTTTCCATTGTCACTGGATATTGTCGCAGGTGTGCCATGACGGCAGAACACCTGCACCATACACTCCACAATGTTGCTGCTTGTTGCCGCGCGCAGCGGGAAAAGTTCGATAAACTTGGTAAACCTGTCGATTACCACGAGCAGGTACTTGTGGCGTCGAGGCGTTGATGGCAGAGGTCCCACGATGTCTACACTGAGCTCCTCCATGGGCGAAGTGGCCCACTGACTGCTCATAAGCCCTTCGGGCCTCTGGCGGCGGGCCTTTGTCCGCTGGCATACCTGGCAGCACCGGACGTACTTGGATACATCGGCTCGCATGCCCAGCCACACGAAGCGTTCAGAAACACGTTTGAGGGTTTTGAAAAACCCTGCGTGAGCTCCAGTGGGGTGGTCGTGTGCCATCCTGAGCACTAACTGGCGAAGTTGGTCCGGGAGCCAGGGTACCTTTTTGTTACCTCTGTGCTGAACGAGCAACCCATTGGCCTCCAGCTCTGTCGTCTCAGCCAGGTCGTCCAGTAGGCGTTGGTCTGTACTGTCGTCTGGGAGCTTCGTTCCCTTCATCACCATTCTGAGCTTGGACAAAAGGGCGTCTTGATGCTGCTCGTGGACCAGGCTTCCCGGGTCACTCAGGACTGTGGCATCGTCCATCATGGACACTGTCGCAGCTGGTTCAAAACTGATTTGGCACTCAGTCTCCGGGGCAGCAATGGGGAAAAGCGTCTCTGGCAGGCTGTGTCCAGGGGTGTCCATACACTGAAGCGGAGCTCTGCTGAGGGCGTCGGCTGGGACATTTGCAAGCCCCCTCCGGTGCTTGATCTTGCAGTTGAAGCCCTGAAGCCGAAGAACCCATCGCTTGACTCTTGGTGAGGCTTGGTCTGTACTAAACATCCAGGCCAGTGAGGAGTGATCGCAGTGGATCTCAAACTCTGTGAACTCCAGGTAGGGTCGGAATTTGTCCACAGCCCAAACCACCGCGAGACACTCCCACTCCTGAACGGTGTAGTTCCGCTCCGACTCAGTCAGCACTCTACTGATAAACGACACTGGCTGTAGCTGGTCTGGGCCCCTCTGCAGCAGCACTGCCGCAATGCCAACTCCACTGGCATCAGTCTCGACGACGAAGGGCTGATTCAGGTCGGGAAGACTCACAACCACGTCGTGGGCCAGGGACTCCTTGAGTGCGGCAAACGCTTGCTCCTGACGATGAGTCCAGTGCCATTTATGGTCCTTCCTCAAGAGGTCTGTGAGTGGTCGGGCAACAATGGAAAATTGAGGAATAAAGCTCCGGTAGTAGCCGGATAACCCCAGGAAGGCTTGCAGTTGCTTGACTGTGCTGGGCCGAGGGTAGTCCAACACCGCAAGCACCTTCTCATCGTCGGGTCTGCATTCCCCTGGGGAGATCACGTGGCCCAGGAACTTCAGAGACCGACGGCAGACTTGGACCTTGTCTGGATTGATGGTGAGTCCCGCTGACCTGATGCGCTGCAACACCTCCCGCACATGCGTGACGTGGCTCTCCAGAGTATCCGAATACACGAGGACGTCGTCCATAAATGCCATGGTGAATTGGTGATTTATGCCGTCCAGAACCCTGTCCATCAAGGTTTGGAAGGTGGCCGGGCCCCCTGCCACTCCAAATGGCATCCGTGTGAACTCGAAGGTTCCCAGGTGGCAGATGAAGGCGGTCTTGGGAATGTCCTCTTTGCACACAGGAATTTGAAAAAAACCCTGAGACAGGTCGAAACTCGAAAACCACTCTGCCTGACCCAATTGTGCCAGCAGCCAGTCCGTCCTGGGCATGGGGTAGACTGGCACCCTGGTACATGCGTTGAGTGGCCGATAATCGATGGCAAGCCTGAAGCCACCTGACTTTTTTGCCACCAACACTGGTGCGCTTGTCCACTGGCTGTTGCTTCGGCGGATGAGTCCTTGTTCCAACAAGTCCTGCACACAGCCGTCAATGATCTTCTGCTTTTTGGCGTTGACAGGGCGCAGCTTGCAGCGCACGGGCGGACTCTTTCCCGTGTCTATCTGATGATGAGCGAGGGTGGTGCAGCCCGGAGTTGTGGTAAACATCGGCCGAAAGTCCACCAACACATTCTCCATGCAAGTGTCCACTTCCGGTGCATGACTCTGAGGCCGATCACCTCTGGAGGTGGTCTGGTCAGAGGCGCCGGCGCAGGCAGGTTCTTCCTCCGTGAAGATGCCCTGGAGGCAGTAGGAATCCTCCCCGGCCAGAGGCTCCTCAGTTGGCCTCTTTTCACCCTTAGCAAACGGAACAATGCACTGGGGTTCTGTGCCAATCGTCCACCCCCCAAGTGCCACGTGCACTGAAATGCCGGTGATCGTCAAAAAATCTCTCCCCAGGACAATGTCTCGGCAAAGGTCGGGCACAAACAGGAAGCGCTGCCTCCGAGAACCGGCCGCCCATTGGATTTTGCACCTGAGCGATGTGGAGGATTGAGACCAGCCTGTCGCGAGGCGCAGCGTGCGGACTTCCCTCTTGTGACTGGCTCCTGTAGCTTGGGCAGCTGTCATCGCCGGCAGTCCCAGCAGACTAACGCTGGAGCCCGTGTCGAGCAGTGCCTGGAAGGTCGTCGAACCAATCCGCACGTCCAAGAGGGGTTCTTTCCCACCGGCAGTTGTCGCCACCTGCAACGCGCTGTCGTAGATGCCCGCCGGGGCAGCATCTACCAGTTCCCGTTTCCCGGGCACTGCGCTTGGAAGTGGCCCGGCTGCTGGCATTGGAAGCAGAGAAGAGACGCAGCGGGTGTTGACGCAGCCCGCCGACCGGTGGCGCAGTGACGAGCGGCGTGGCCGATTCCTCCGCAGCGCTGGCAGTGAGCCTGTCTTCCGTTAGGCTGCTGCCACTGGGTTGCCGGCAGCGCGAAGGTGGCTGGGGGCAGCATCGGTAAAGCTGGGCCGTAAAGCTGGTCCCGGTGGTAGGATGGCTGGATCGCTGCCGGGTGAAGTGGCCAGGGGTACGTCGACTGCGTAACTGCGGCCGGGGAAGCGAACGTTGCAGCCGCCGTCGATGGCTGGACCGCTGCCGAGTGAAGTGGCCAGGGGTACGTCGACTGCGTAACTGCGGCCGGGGAAGCAAACGTTGCAGCTGCCGTCATCGCCGGTGGCGGTCTGGGAAGGCCCGGAGCACCAGCTGCAGGCCTGAAGGCGAGGTCTCTGGCCACTTGGTTGGTTTGGGGAGGCGGCGGCAAGTACTGCAGCCGTCGCCAAGCGCGCTGCATGAGGCCGTCGGCCGCCTTCGCCAGCTCCGCCAGGTTCGCGAACTGCGCCCCCTCTGCCAAGTCCTGCAGCTGCGGGTGCATTTGCCGGAGGACGCGGTCCACTTTCTCCGAGTCCGGCACCTCTTCTCCGATTCGGTCGTAGTATGCCGCAATCGTGTAAATAAACTCCTTCAAGTTCTCTTCCGGGTGCTGTGTACGGAGTCGCAGCTCATCCTTGAGGCGACGCTTCGCGTCGATGGAGGCGAACTCCGCACGGAACGCGGACGTGAAGTTATCCCAGCTGGCGAAGTCGCCCACAAAGCGCCACCACAATTTCGCACTGCCCTCCAGTGCGGCTGGCACGACCTGGCTCAGTCGTTTGTCGGCGGCGACTCCCGTCACCAAACAGAAGTTCTCGAGCCGCTCCAGAAATTCCTCGGGCGACTGAAGATCGCTGAAGCCCGAGAACTTCGGCAGCTGGGCCGCGATCCTGGGCACAGGGCCACCGGAGGGATGGACTGTGGCCACAGTCGCCACGGGCACTTCGGCGCCGGTCAGCATCGGAGCCGCCATTACGGCTTGCCGCAATTGTGCTGCAGCGTGCTCACGTTGCAGCGCTGATCCGTCGGTCTGTCGAAGGAGCTGCTGCACTAGCCCCTCTGGCACTGTGAAGGAGTCCATGGTGCGATCCCGGACGAGCCCCCACTTGTCACGCTTGGCTCGGCTGAGCGGACACTTTCACATACGTGGTACACTCCTTTATTCTTCTAGCGCCATCCTTCACTCCCCGCCGTCCCTCGCTCCTCCCCGCGACTCGCGGGAGCGGGGACAAGTGTTGTCCCTAGGAATCCCCCCTAGGGAAGGAGTGTCCCCGCACGGTCCCGGTTGTCGCCGGCGCCACACACTCCTCACATTCCTTACATCCAAAGAAATCTTACATGCGTGGATATTTCAACTAAGGGTTACTCAAAATATGAAACTATCAAAAATGTTATTTTGGTCAGTTTTCTAGATTTTTTGTATTTTCATCCAGCGTAAAATTCAGATAAAACAACTCACAATAAAAGAGTGTTGGAAATCGTGAAAATTATCTGCTTATTTACTTCAGAAAACAATAAACATATTCTACTATTTGAATCTTCACCGTAATTTATTGGCGTTTTGTTGTTCATACTCCCCATTTTATTTTTTTATTTCTTTGTTGTTGTTTTTTGTTTGTTTTCAAGTCCGAGAGAGTTTATAATAAAAATTGGATGAACTTCTGCCGTACGCAGCTGAACAAATCGTTATATGTAAACCTCCCCGAGGGCCTCATTCATCAATCACCCTATTGAAAGTGCCACTTCGGTGGATTTTGAGATCGCCTTCTTTGTGGCGCGAACCTACGCATCTTCCAAAACCCCAAAACTACGATCACAATCACGCATGACGTTGTTACGCCGTCAGCCTTTACTGGCGAGGTTTCGCAGCTCATCCCGGAGGGTTTTCGTTTGTGACAATCGTGGCATGGCGTCGCGCGACCGCGTCACGTGGCGTCGTAATGTCACGTGATGTCACGCGACACTGACATCACGTCACACCATGACTTAACATTGTGATGTCACGGAATGTCACGGCATGTCACGGCATGTCACGGCACACTTTACCGTCACATTAACAGTGTGTGTAGTCTCTGCAGCAGTGTGCAGTGCTTCCGTCGCCGCCGGAGTTTATCTGCTGAACACGGCAAAGAATCGGGACTAGCGGGAAATTTTCATTTTTCTTATGACCGAACATTGCGACATTTCTGAGATAAATCTAAAAACTATGGGGCCCGTCGTGACATTTGGTAGTGTTTTTATTTAAAAAAATGGGTCACGCATGATTGTAATTTTGGGATTTCTAGGATGCTTAGGACGCGGGTTGAGTATGCGCCTCCAAAAACACGATTTCAATATTCACTTTGGTGCCGTTTTAAGACACTCATGGTCTACAGAAGAGCAACACCCAAATCTTCAGCGCCCGCGACTTATGTGCCGAATTCATGTAGGTTTCAGATTCATTGCGTAACCTTCGCAATGCAAAATATAACAAAATATTTGCCTATTTTGTTATATTTTATTTTGTAAAATGTTTGCAGTTTTTGCTTCATTTCAGCCAACTCCGAAACGTGTTCGTCCTCTCCTGTGTCCTTCTGGATTTTCACTCATTTGTTTATTTACAAAACGCCATTCGTCGCCGTTAGGCATTGTTGATACATTCACGAATAACCCGTGTCTATATTGATGAGCGTGATGAAGTATTACAGGCGTGTTTTGCTCGATCAGCTAAAAATTCGTAAGATCTAACTTTTTATCATCTCACGTCGAGACGTTTATTTTGCAGTGACATCGGCCCGCAGGGCTACGTATCAAATTCTGAGTACGGACAGCACTACCTGCTTCACACTCAAGCTCGGGATGACTCAACCGGGTAAAGACCCTGGTAAGCTTCCGCAATCTATATTGTAACGCGAGGCAATACATTACAGTATAAATATAGTTTCTGGAATACTAGAAAATGTGTTGATCACTAGAAATGTGACAGCATTAGCAAAAACGTCTTCGCACAGGGTGACGTTCAGAATAATTTTAAAAAAAGTGCAGAAAAAGATGCCTGTAAATGACATCTTTATGAAACATACGTGTAATTTTAGTCCAGCCTATATGTTTAAATCGTCCTACAATTTTTTGTTTATTATGCCCAAACACTTTTCTCTTATCTTTCATATACTCTCCACAATAGAGGTTATGGCAACTATAAGAAAGGTCTCATTGAAATAACAACCAAATACAACTTCATTTCAGAGTGCGGAGTGTGGAGTGTGGACAAGATCAACACCACAAGTGTTCCACAAGTGGGTATGGAGGGATGTCCGAATGTACAGTTAGATATTATGTCACCGGACGGTTGCTACTACAATTAATGAGATACTGTATCTCACGTGTAGAAAAAAAAAAGAAAGAAAACACGCTAGTCTGTGTACCGCTTAAAAACAAAACGCCCAAATAAACTTCACCTGTTGGTGGTCGATTCTCACGTGTGTTCAACATTTTAGTTTCCAAATGTTAATTGACACTTTGTAAGCAAAGGCCAACGTAATTAAGTTACATCTTAATTTTTTCAATGTAATGTTTTCATGAATATTCGTGAAGTAGATATTATGTCCACCCCAGTGATGTTGTTGTTGTTCTGCCACAGGTGGTGATGGTTTTTCTGCTGATTCAATATTCTTGGCCACTTATCGGCCACAACCAAGTCACACGCTAACAGGAGAGTGTATTGAATTTCGGGGAATATAAAGCAGTTGCGAGAATTCATTTTAGAAAAACCTTCTTTTCTTTCAAGTGAAGTCAATATATGTTTTATTTTTACAAAAAATGTCAGTAAACGAGTTTATTTATTCAGGCAGCCGTGCCAAAACTGTTCAAGGTACCTCTTGTTGCTATAAGGATTATGAGGCAATCAACGTAGTTAGCTAAATAAAAAAAAACACGATACAGCGACAAGGCATTTAATTTACTTCTAATTGAGATTATAAAAATTATAGCATAATAAACGCACATAAAACTATGAATCATAGTGAAACATATGACGCAATAACAGTGCAATATAAGAATATGGAGAGCAGCAGGCTAATTGCATCTACCTGTATTAAATCTAGAATACATATGCAGTGAGAACCGTGCCACTAAACATACAAAAATACAAAGTAATAAAAACATCGAAAGGAGTGCAAAAATAAAATACGCAAGCTATATGTGTGTATGTAAACCCCTTGCGCAGGGATACGGGCAAAAACAGATTGATGAATCAAGCAAATTGTATATGTATACGTGTGCCGCTAACTTGTAGAAATAAAAACGTGGCATGGGAGTTAATTTTTATGGAAGGGAGTTTTATAGTGTTTTTGTAGAAATGTTTGCGATTGTGAGTGCGCCGTAGTTGTATGTGAGGTGCAAACTGTGGCGCTTGGGAGGGGAACTAAAGTATAAATTACGCCTTGTCGAGCGCGCTTATTCGATTCACTCAATGCTTCCCAAATCCTGCTACTCTGCTCTAGATAATTTCTTGATTTATGCTCAGTTCCTCAAAACGAGGGCGGGGTTTGGAATCTGCAACTCTCTGTTCCAGCTGGATCTTGAGCTACGACCCATACTTTTTTTTCGTCGACGCCACTCTAGAAAGCACAAGTTCGCATTTTTGTCACGATCCCCCTTAGGGTTGCAACCCCTAGTCTCCCAGACACTGGATTAACACATTACCTACCTTCTAGTTAAAAAATCTGAAAACAATATGTCATTTTTATATTCATGTCTACATTAATATATTGTTATTTTCGCGGTATTCATTTCCAACCCTTATGAGCCAGTAAAGAAACGATAAACCAATTTCCTGGCACTGGTAATCTAAAGTACTTCAAAGAAACTCGTCAAACATTGAACGTGCACTCCATGCCCGAGCCTGTCACAATCAACAACTTCCCGGCGTCTCGACACTCGAGTTGTCCAGCTGCTACTTCGACGCCAGCCTCCCAGGCATCCGCGACATCATCCACTACATTGTCCGGGAGGATATCAGGAAGCTACTTCCTGCCATCACTTGCCCGGCTTTTATTTTGATTGCCGAGATTGTTTCGGAACAAGTTTGACAGGAATTTCAACCGGAGACTTCTGCGAGCGAAGTGGCATCTGACGAACTGAGGGCAACTTACGCCACAATGGCTCGACGACCGGCTCCTGTTGCCCCTTAGTATTCAAAGCCAATTCGATGAGACACCCCAATACCGAAGCATTCCCGACATTGGTGCTGGTCTGCGCTGAAGAAAGTACACCGGGGAAAACGGAGGTGGTGCGAATGGCCGACCAAAAACCCCTCTGCTACCACCGCATGAGGCCGACCATGTCTACCAGAGCTGCCCGTACCAATAAATTGGCCTGCGAGGGTTCGTGCCGAACGACCCTCGACTACGTCTCGAGGAGCGACCGCGGAACATTGAGGATTATCTTCGGCGGCCTTTGTCCCTGATGCCAACATTACTCTGAAGCTCCTGATCCCCATCACCTTGGCGGGAGCTAAGCACGACAAAGCAGGTGAGTGGCAATGCAATGACAGTTGATTTGGTGTTGGTTGTCGTCCAAGGACAATACCTTATAATTTGCTGGCACCAATTATCTGTGTCCACTCCACGAAGCACACAATTTCCAACTTTGAGGGAGAACGCCGTTGAGTGACGTGAACAAATAGCATGGTTGGTTGTTCTCAAAAGTGGACTCCAAGCATCATCCGACAGTTCCGACTTCAGTTTTCCACACGAGACATACACGAGTTGCAGTAGTCGCGGGAGGCAGAAGAAATAGCTATTACGAAATGGAAGTGAATAGGCTTGGACAGCAAACAAACATTGTTCCCAGCCATCCAGTCAACGGTACAGCAAAAGACACAGCCACGTAAGCAATATTTGCCTGAGCTTGCTGCATTGACGCAGAAAACTACCAGGAAAATTTGCCGATTAGAAGCCAGCCCTCCAGCTTCAGTGCATCAGATGTCAGTGGCCGCACATGACGTATGATTACAAGACGGCATCACTCAGTCAAAGTTGCCACTCGACCAAACTGAACACCGACATGCCAGGAGCGTCATGCGACAACAAGGTCCGCAGGTACTACGACTGAACGCCTGACACGAGACTGTCGCAGAAAGAACTCGTTATGGAACCATTTGCTAAGAATCAACAACTATGTAATCAAGTGGAAATTAACATATTTGATACACTAATCAAATAAACAGTCTTGCCTTTACACCTTCAGAGTCTATACACCAAAAATTGTGTTCACTGCACGCGCTGGACCTTTTGAGGACACTCGCATCTCTGACCCTTCAATATTAATGGGACATACCAGACTGGCAGACTTGTTGCATGGGGCTGCACTCGTTCCACCTCTCCTGAACATGTGGTGCATCCGAAAACCAACTCCAGTGATGGGGAAATGTTATTTATTAATTTATTCCCTCCAAGGGCCCTTGTAGGCATTGCAGAGAGGATACTTAAAACTACACACCTGATAATAACATCAAAGTAGATTGACACTAATGAGCACAAAACGGGCCCAGCTACAGAAGGTAAGCACTACACTCGTAAAAAATATTTATTGCTGTAACTTGTTAATTGCAAAAACAAACACACCTCTGAGCAACTAGTTTAATAGTATGTGCTGATGCATTGTTATATAGCGGGACACTTCCTATGCGTACGACACAATAGATCCTTTGCAAAACTCCATCGAGCAACACAAATGTTACCATTTTCTTTTCGGCGTAAAGCACACGAATGGGCCCCAGTTCACGTCGAACGCTAATGCAGCATTCAAGTCCAATAGGCGCTAAGCCGAGTTCACAGTAGTGGCGGACATAACATTCTTGTCGAACAAATGCCCAAAGTATGAAGACCTTGGGTAATTAGAGTAGTAGCTACTGTAATTCGTTTTATCACAATTTGGCAAACGGCGAAGGCGACAGTCTCGTTGAGTCAATATGCACGTTGGAGAGAGGCACATGACAAGATATCATCAGAGTGCTCGTCTGCACAGATTTGTCACACAGCTCCACTTCGTCTCTCTGATTGGCTCGAAAGGGCTGTGGCGGTTGCCCATTTCCAAGTTATGGTGAAACAAAGTATAGGCAGCCCACAATTTTGAAAAAAGTTTATTAAAGAGACCGAAAGGAATGGTAGTCAACATTTCTCAACAAGACAGATTTTTGGGCAAGGGATCAACACAAATATGAATCATCTTGTCCAGGTAATTAGAACAAGTAAATAATTGACCGACTAATACAATGCACTCTTGATGAAAAAAAGTATTGCTGCAATAAATCCTACGAAAAAGAGAAATGTGCAGTTTCCCAAAACCCGAAACGATCGGTCAGGTTTCATTGAACCGTGGAAGTAACGTACCTTTCCATACTTTAATTTTGAATTCTGGTGTGTTTCAGAACTTCCACTTCCAGTATCAACGACCCTGGTCAAAGCGAGCACACTCCAAAGGAGCATGCATGCCGCGACGAATGCACCGTGTAATTCCATGACCTTTCGGATGGTGTTGCCGTGACGGCTTCTAACTGTTCTCTTAGATATACGCAGCTGTTCAGCAGATGGTCGGGTAAACAATCAAACTTCGTAGCATGGAATACCGAGAAGAATTTCTCTTTGAAGGTCAAAGCGACAGCCGATCGTTATTCGACCTGAAACAGATTTCAAGATTAAAGTGGTACGGAAACAAAATTTTATCACTTATTTATTTGCTTCAATATAACCTATCGAATGCAAAAACCTCAGAAACACCAGTTGTTGGTTCAAAAACGCGAGATAAGATACTTCAAATTATACGATTCACAAATACCACCCAGCGGATGCCCCTGAAGCTTCGTTGGACGGTCTTTATGTCATTGACCCCGTAAGAGCAGCGCGCTACGCCGCGGTAGTACGGTCTAGTGTATCCGAATCAGGCCTGTACACGAGCGCAACAGATTGGTAGAGAATGTCACCACTGAGTAGGTCACGCTTGGTTGCGTCGGCGAATATCCTGTGCGTTTACATCGAGACGCCGTGCTATTGTGAGGTAGAGGGCGTAGGCAGCAGCGCGGTGTATCCACCATTGTAAGACGCCGGGGCGCTGGTACACTCGTTTGCGAACGAGGAGGAACTACCGAAGCTGTCCGTATCGCTCGACCGTCATGTCCCAAGCTTGTACGGCAATCATTTTTGTAGTAAGAACTACGAAAAAAGCGCTAAGGCGCTAAGACCAAACAACCGCGTGGCTTGACCGAAAAACCGCATCGCTTCACTGTGATCTCCCTACAAGCGAGCCGGAGTAGTTGACTGGTATCGTCATCGAATAATCTCCACGTTGACGTGGTATCCTACAC